TGATGAAATGCAGGTAGATAAATAAAGGTTATTGACCTCTCGTGTTTGCCCGGCTGGGCATTTGGGGCACTCCCGGAGGGGACAGGGCGTCTCGCACTGACAGATGTCACAGCCGAACTCGTCCTTGGCATACACGCCGCCGGGACAGGCGTCGTTACAGTTGAGCTCGCTGCACTCACAGTGGCAGGTGTCGCACCCGTACTGGTCCTTCGCGTACCTGCGGACGAAATAATGTTTAATGTTTAATGAAATGATAATAGTCTTCGACTCGGAACTAAGAGGTCCCGGGTTCGAGTCCTGACATGCCGCCGGGACAGGCGTCGTTACAGTTGAGCTCGCTGCACTCACAGTGGCAGGTGTCGCACCCGTACTGGTCCTTCGCGTACCTGGGGAGACAAGGATGTCAAAACGGCTGTTTTTGGACTAGTCGATTCCATATGCGGGTACAAATGGAAGAGTCAATTTTTGAATAGGAGGAACAAACTTTTTTTACTCAGGGTCAAACTAGGTAGGCTCCATTTTAGACTGGGATGACTTGGCAAATGTTTAATCAATCGGGCAGCGGTTATTTTTATTTTCACAGTTGTGAATTTAGAACAGCTAATTTTTTGGAGAGAGATGGAGTGAAGTGTGCTATATTTGCTCGCGAGCAAATGTCGGTCTTCCTAGCTTTTCTTGGTCATTTTTATTCAATGAAATTTATCAGAAACAGGACCAAATATCTATGCATATATAACAGCTCTGTTACTCTCTCTCTCTCTCTCTCTGTGTGTGTGTGTGTGTGTGTGTTTTTGTTTAACGTTGTAACGACTTATGTAAAAGATGCAGTTGCAAAGGAAAGGTAGAAGGCAGGTAGGACAGTGGGTAGAATGTAAGAAAAAAATACAAGTTGGTAAAAAATGTAGACTAGAAACGATGGAGAACCTACATCTGATTAGGGCAGGGCAGGCACTTGAGTTGTGGGCATGCGCAGCCGCATGTCTGACAGCCGTTCTCGTCCGAAGCGTACAGATCTCCCGGGCACTCCATCATGCAGAACACCTCATGGCACACGTGACCGGTGTGCGCGTGCATGTCGGTAGACTCGGCCAACTCCCGCGCGGGGACTGATGGGAAAAAATATGATATGATATGAATCTTTTTATTTTTTTTAAATCTTTTTATTTTTTTTATTATTTATTTATTGATTTCAACACCAAAAAGCAAACCTTGCAGCAGGGATGAAAATCCCT